CCCCCCCCGTCTTCTTTGCTTTTTGTCTCACTGTCTCTACTACTAGGTACTAATCAACGCCAAGAGAAAGCCGCCCAACCCTGGATTTGAGGCTCATGCAGCTCTTTTCACCGGTGACGCATCCCTGCCTCCCTTGGCTACTCTGTCCCCACTCATGAGGCCTTCCTCGGCCGCCGGTTTGAAAATAGAGGCTACGAGAGGGCAGACCCTACAAGGGACTTGAAATCGGCCGGGGTCAGGACCTGAGCCTGGTCTAGGGTGGTGTGACTCGCAAGCGCATGAGATTCTGATATATGACAGACAGAACAGTCTAACGTGAGAAAACTCAATACGACTCCCGATTCACGAGTCAGTCAGTCAACCAAAAGGTTATGTGATGTGATTTTGGGCTTGGAAAAATCAGTTCGATGCTGGGTATAAATGCAGAGCAAAGAATGCTGATGTCAAAAGGAATTGACCACTGATTAAATCTAGATGCCTCCGTTCAGGTTCTGCATATGCATTTCTATATTCATTCATGCATATTCAACACACAAACATACACACCACACCGTAGACAACCAACTGCACTCTTTCTTCCTACTCATAGTCTCATGCCCTCCAGATAGCATCAGCCATCTTGGCTACCATGCCCATCTCTTGCGTGTCATGTACCCTCACTATATCCGCACCGCCCTGAACCGCCGCTGCCACCGTCGCCGCCGTGCCCCACGTCCGTTGCTTCGGCTCCGTGACTCCTGTGATCTTGCCGACAAATGTCTTCCGGCTCGAGCCAACTAGCCACGGCAGGCCCTGAAGCCCCGGCCAGTATCGCAGCTCCTCCAGCCGTCGAAGAATCTCGAGGTTCTGCTCCCCCGTCTTGGCGAAGCCGATACCCGGGTCCAGAATCATGCGCCACCGCCGGATACCCGCTGCCTCGGCCGCTGCTACGCGCTCGAGAAGCTCAGATGCTATTGTCGGAATAAGTCCGTCTGGATACGAGGTCAGCTTTGTCATGGTCTGCGGCGTGCCGCGCATATGCATCAGACATATCGTCTTCTCCAGACGGCCGACGGTAGAAAGCATATCTGGGTCCAGCAGACCAGCCGAAACGTCGTTGATGATATCTGCTCCACTGGCAATAGCTTCCTCGGCAACGGATGCACGATACGTGTCGATGCTGATAGCCACATCACGAGCTTCAGGAAGCGATCGAATAAGCTGGACCGCAGGCACAACGCGGGACGCCTCTTCCTCTGCTGATACTTCTGGTCGACCAGGGGCAGTTGACTGGCCCCCAACATCGATAATCGAAGTTCCGTTCTTGACCATTTTCATAATGGTCTGAGCGAGGTTATCTCGATCGTGAAAGCCACCATCTGAAAACGAATCCGGCGTCAAGTTGAGAATGCCCATGACATGGGTCTTGCGCTTTGCAGCAAGAGGCGTCAAAGAACCTGCCGTCGAAGAAAGCGGTGTCATGGAAGACAATGGCTCGCCAAGGGGCAGCTCATTTAGATTATCCTGAATGAGCTTCCACGGTTTCGTCGGATCCAATGATTTTGCCGGGACGAGTCTGCAACTTGCCGTTAGAATACCTCGATTGTGTTTTTCTGTGCAACGTACTCGGCCAGGGGTCTGAGAACAAACTCTCGCTCCAATATGCCGATATGGGGAATCTTGAGCCGCTCGTGGTCAACCTTTTCGTCGCCGTACAGAAGTATGTCCAAATCAATGTTACGCGGACCCTTGTCGATGACCTTCTTTCGCCCCATGTCATTCTCAATGGCTTGCAGTTGATCTAGAAGAGCTATAGGGTCAAGTTCTGTCTCAACCTAGCGGATTCGTCAGCGCGGGGAACGCGAACGGGACGTTTTTGATATACATGCCTCACAAGCGCCGTTGACGAAGCGATCCTGGTCGGTAACATACATGGGCTCTGTCTCCCAGAGGCTGCTGGTCCTCTTGACTTTGATTCCTCGGCGGTCCATCTCATTGCATGCCCGCTCAATCTCAGCAACTCTGTCTCCCATATTGCTTCCAAGAGCGATATACGCCGTCTTCTTTTGCGGTCCGCTGCTCCCACAGCCACCTCCGCTTGCGCAAGCACATCCACAGTCATTGCGCTTAAGCTCAGGCATGTTGCGCCTTACAAGAGGGCGAAGGCGCGCATGATGGACATAAGATCGCTGGTGAGGCCTTGTTGACGTCAACGAACATCGCGATGCAGTGGCGAAAGCCCGAGCAGAGCAGGAAGAAGCACTGTGGCCGTTGCTTCTGAGGCTCTGAGCAAGCAATCGCGGTGGGAGAAGAGGTTGTCTCATGGTGAGTGGTGCTGCTTTAGCTACATGACTGACGATTCAGAGCATGTTGTTGAGTGAGTTCGGAGAATTGAGGCCGAGAAAATTTGCGTTAAAGAGACACTGGGGGTGAGATTAGTATCTTCAACGGACGGTGCTAACAGCTGTTGAAATCTACAAGTAAAAGGCTGAGTACAATGAGGCTGTAGCGGACTTTGCGATACTTTTTTTGGCGGAGAAAATAAGCTGACGAGAGCGGCATAGGGCTACGCGGTTGAGCTCTTGCATTTCCGAGCTGACTGTACGGGGATGAGATGCATTGGTTTCCCATGTGAGGTGGTCGTCATGATTCATGTCACGGGGTCTTTTGAGTCTTGGTCTTTGCTGACTGTAGGTAGTTTCTGCCGTTAGCACCGAGCACATGTCAGAGACGTTGATAGATTACTAAGTTTGCCATTTTGGGTAGGTTCAAGCCTTTGAGAAACCCCAGGGAGAACGAAAAAGAACAGCACAATCATTTCAGCAGGTGCTTCGGCTTTACCGAGTTCCGCTGCTAACAGTCAGGCCATTTTCACTCCATTTCAAAATTGTTAACAGCTTCTCCTCTTTCGTCCCGAGGCATCTTCCCCGGATTCAAAGTGACACTATCCCCAATGCGGGAACTGCTCCTACTCCACACTCTTCCTGCTCAGCCTGAGACGAGACTCTGGAGACTAGACCTCGGCATGTGGTCCCTCCCTCGTAGTTCCTGCCATCGCGAACCGTCCTTCTAACCTCTTTCCCTGCGAAACCCCCTCTCTATCTGCTGATTCTTTTTATACCCCGGATTTCTTCTCCAACTCTCGATTCTCCCGTTCCTTTATCAATCCAATCTAGCTCCTGATTCCACCACCAGAACTCAAGACGCGACACGACAGCATCATCTAGACAAGACAAACAGACAAGCAGACAACATGGCCTCACCACGTACGTCATCAGCGCAATCTCCAGATTCCTCAGCGATCGCTAACATGCTCCCTCACAGAGAAGCTCCGAACCCCCATCACCGATCTTTTCAAGATCCAGCACCCCGTCCTCCTCGCGGGCATGAATGTTGCCGCCGGCCCTAAGCTCGCTGCCGCTGTCTCCAACGCCGGTGGTCTCGGTGTCATTGGTGGTGTCGGATACACTCCTGACATGCTGCGCGAGCAAATCGCTGAGCTCAAGAGCTACCTCAACGACAAGAACGCTCCTTTCGGCGTTGATCTGCTCCTTCCCCAGGTCGGCGGCAGCGCTCGCAAGACCAAGTAAGTCCGGACACCCCAAATTCTGGGGGCCCTCGGCCTTGAGATTCTGCCATCACGTGCACATCCCACTAGTGACGAACAAAGCGCTGACATATGACTTCGCAGCTACGATTACACCAAGGGTAAGCTCAACGAGCTCGTCGACATTATCATCGAGGAGGGCGCTAAGCTCTTCGTCTCTGCCGTCGGTGTCCCCCCCAAGGCTGTCGTCGACAAGCTCCACGCCAATGGCATTGTTTACATGAACATGATCGGTCACGTCAAGCACGTTCAGAAGTGCCTTGACCTCGGCGTCGACATCATTTGCGCTCAGGGTGGTGAGGGTGGTGGCCACACTGGCGATATCCCCACAACCGTCCTCATCCCCGCTGTTGTCGACATCTGCAAGAAGCACAAGTCTCCTCTCACCGGCGGCCCCGTCCAGGTCATCGCTGCTGGTGGTATTCACAACGGTCAGCTCCTCGCTGCTGCGCTCATGATGGGTGCTGGCGCTGTCTGGGTCGGAACTCGATTCATCCTCACTGACGAGGCCGGTGCCCCCAAGGCTCACAAGGAGGCCGTCCGCACATCTGGCCACGACGACAACATCCGCACCATCATCTGGACCGGCCGTCCCATGCGTGTCCGTAACAACGACTACATCAATGACTGGGAGGTCAACCGTCAGGCCGAGATCAAGGAGCTTGTCGCCAAGGGAGTTATCCCCTACGAGGCTGACCTCGACAAGCTCGCCGAGGCTGCTAGTGACAACGATAGTGATGACGACGAGGATCTGTTGGACAAGTACCGACCTTACCTCATGGGCAAGTGTGCTGCTGTCGTCAACGAGCAGAAGCCTGCCAAGGCTGTCGTGGATGAGTTTGTAGACGATGCTGTTGCCTGGTTGCAAAGGGGCAACAAGATGATTGCCAAGCTGTAAAGAACCTATAAGATACCATGTCTTGTCATTTATCCTTGATTTTTTTTATTATATTTCTAGACTACGAGCATAGCTTGCTTGGATTTACCGTCAACAGCTTCAATTGAATTGGATAAGCATTCCTCATAACATACATCTCCTTGAATAGATATCCATCTGTCCTTGTAAAGGTCACTCTGCTCTCTTCGGTATGAACTATCAGAATGAACCAAAATGATACGTTTTTGATTTCATAAACTAGGAAAACATCAAATCTATTTCATACTTCGAGTAACCAAGCAGTCAACTTTGACTTCACATGTACGCCAGCTCCAAAAAGCATCCCGACCCCAGATTCATGCCAAAGAGCATCTTCTCCGTGCACCAATTCTCGCTCGATAGTGATAATCGAACAGACGCACGTCTCTTTTGGTTGTTCTTCTCATCTGCTGCCTTTTCACCAACAGGACGCTTCTCAGCTTGAGAAACAGTCACGCACACACCTAAACCTCGAACCAATGGGGGGGAAAAGTCCGTCTAGTTCCCAAGGTATGATCGAATGGCTCCCTGGAGTCGTGAAGACACTTCGCCAGCCATTTGTGTGAGGTTCTCAAGATCGTCACCAGCCGTGATACCAAACTTGCGCACAAAGTCCTTGGCAGCAGACTCGAGATCGCCGTATTCCTCCTCGGGCTCATCCTCTGGTCGGCCGAAGTAGGCATTTGATGAAATGGCAGTTGCGCCCTCGAAGCCTTGGAGTCGGGTCTTGGCCTCAGCCTGAGAGTTGGGGTCATAGGCACCCTTTCCGAAGAACTCGTCAGATGAGATACCCTTCTGCGTACCGAACTTGTCGCGGGCATATCGCTCTGAGTCGTCTACAACCGAATTAGTATCCTTTTATGTCTTTGTGTTCTTTCTGAAACTTACCAACAGCAGCGGCCTTGACAGGTCCAACGGAACCAAAGCCTCCGGCGTTCTTCTTGGGGGCAGCAGCAGCCTTGGGACCACCAATCTGTCCGAATCCCAGTCGGCCCATGCCCATGCCCAATCGCTCAACTTCAGCGTCAGACTTCTGGCGAGTATGCGATGAACTTGTGCCGCGGCTAGGGCTAACGGGGGTGGGAGAGATGATAGCGGCACCAGATCCAGAGGCATTCTTGGTCGCGGGATCCTCTTCAGCATCAGGATCATAACCGAGCTTCGCAATCCGGTCGGCCTCTTCCTTAGCTTTGCGCTCCGCCTCGTCAAAGTCAATCACGTCGCTGGTGACCTTCTTTGCGCCCAGCTTGGTAGTCTTCTTAGCACCGAGAACGTTGGCTTTTCGGGGACCGGTGGAAGTGGTCGTCTTGCGTAGAGCGGCGGAAGTAGTGATTCGGCTGGTAGGCTTGTTGTCGCCAGTGGAAGATCGGGACAGAGGCGAAGCTGTACGAGCGATATCCTTGCCGTTACCGGAGTTTAGGAAGGGAGAGGGAGTGCGGCCGACGACAGGGGGGGTTCCGGTGCGAGAGACAGGAGGAGTAGGTCGCTTGATGGCAGGCTTGTCCCAAGAAGAGAAGAAGTCATCGTCAGGTTCGCCAGCAGGGGTAGCGGCGCCGTCGTCGGTAGCATCAGTAATCACAACCTCGTTGGGGTAGCTAGACACATGTCAGCTGAAAACAGGGGTATCATTTGCGACGTAGCAACATACTCCTGGGCATCTCGCGCAGCACGGCGCTTGAGCTCATCCTTGTACTTGGTGGCGGCATTGGACTGGTATTTCGTCTTAGGATCCTTACTGTTGAGCGCCGCAGTGCCGCCATTCTGCTGGAAGAACTTGGTGGCAGACTCGTTGCCGCCAACCTTCATAACTCGGAGCTGGTCCCATTGCCACTCTGTTCCAACTCGTCAGCACTCATTTTGTAAGAAAGTGAATATGCTGGCGTCTACGTACGATCGAGGTTCGTTGATCGCACAAATGAGATATGGACACCAAGGTTTCGGTGGTTGGAGGAGCAATCAAGGCAGAGGTAGATGCCAAAGGGGACGGATGTCCATGTTGGGTTCTTTTGGCCGCAGTCGAAGCAGATCTGATAGTAGTCGCAATGATCAGCGAACACCTCTACTGAAAGTGTAGAAACAACAAATGGGTACATACCTTGTTCGCAGGCTTGGTCTTTAACTTCTCAAAGATCTTGAGCGACTGCTGCTTTGAAGCAAGGGCGCTCATCTTGACTATTAGGCCGTAATAAGGCGGGAGTATAGAGGTGACACAGAAAGGCAGCAACAGAAGAGGTCTCGGGACCGCGAAAAGGGGAGTTATATCCTAGCGTATTTGCGACGTGTCAAAGAGAGGACAGAATTGGAGTTGGAGGGGGTATTTCGTATTGCTAAGACAAGACAGGACAAGACAGAGTCGAGAATTAAGGAGAAGTGTAGTCAAGGGCAGTTGTCGATAAGGTGGCATATCGACGGACGCTAGTCCTGTTCTGGCCACGACTGGCAACCCCACCTCGAATTCTGCCCGGCGGTGGAGCCGCAATAACGCTGCAACTTGAGCTTAAACAGCTCGATCACACAGTTTAGCTGACTCGCAATCCATCAATCAAGGCAATTAATTGTCTTTATACAATGGCTATTGTCGAATCGCCAGGATGAAACCGACGACGACAAATCTCATCGCGACCGGATCAATAGCCTTCCGGGGCGTCCCATCAACGCTTCGACCTTTCCATGCCTCGAGATACTATGCGACACAACAAGACTTAGGGGCAGCGCCTCAAAGCTCCAAACCGAAGCGAAGAGCAGTGACACCGTTCAACGATAATGGATATGTACCTTGGACAGAGCTCTCGGTGGGAGAGAAGGCGGCGAGAGCGACGCAGCAGAGCTTCAACTTTGGCATGATCCTCGTTGGCCTCGTCCTCACTGTAAGTGGTTTTTGCAACAGCACATACAAGTGGCATTGACGAACACTGTTCTTCTTCTAGGGCGGTGTAGGATATTTCCTCTGGACAGACGTCTTCTCCCCCGATAGCAAGATCTCCAACTTCAACCGCGCAGTTGACAAGATCAAACGTGACCCTCGTATAATCGAACTCATGGGCGACTCCAAGAAGATTACAGCACATGGAGACGAGACATTCAATAAGTGGAGGAGGGCACGTCCTGTTGCGTGAGCTTGGCCGTCATTTGGAAACAGCTCAAATTGCTGACTTGGCTAGATCTACGGAAACGACAGATGCTCGCGGAGACCAGCATATAATGATGCATTTCTATGTACGTCGAATACGGTTTCTCATGATCCAGAGAGACTAACAGTTCTAGGTTGATGGGCCCAAGAACAACGGTATTGCACGGCTTCATATGGTCAAATACCGCGGCCATAGTGACTTTGAGTACAAATATCTCTTTGTCGACATCAGAGGTCACGACAGAATCTACCTCGAGCAAGAGGATACAACATCCTCCAAGGGTGGCAAGAAACTCAGCTTCTTTGGAGTGAAGTGGTAATTGTTACATCCCGAATGTTCAACGACTTACGGAGTCTAAGTCTTACCCTGCAACCATTCTGGACTGGGTTGGTGTGCGAAGGAACTCTGAGTTCTTGTATCATATGCTGGAAGCCGGCTTGGCTAGGCTACCTTTGTAACTATAGTCGGGTTCTAAGCTCTGTGTGCTGTTACCTATATTCATCGCGGAGCAGTTGACGGGCAAGCCTGTGTATCTTCATCCTCGCTTTATGATAACAGCTCTTTGTATGAATTCAACAATGTCAACCAATGGACCTACAATCGGTGCTTCAAACTACCATTTGTATCGCTTTAGGGCAAACCATAACTCCCGGTAGAGATTCTTATCACTTTTGAACTGTTACTGAGGATTATAAGAGCCTCTCCGTTGAAACTATAGGTCCAGTCCTGGATAGTAAGCACCAACCTCTTCAGACTTTCAGACTTGTCGTGTTTTTAAAGGATACCATTACTGCTTCATATATCTTAGTAATGGGTAAAAGTCCGCTGAGGTGCAAATGGGTTTCATATGCATCTGTCTTATTCTCAATTGCATTGGCTTCAGTCAATACGACTAATATATGGTGGCCGATCTCACTGCAATCCTCGCAGACTGGGAGGTTCTCTGGATATGGACAACCTGCCCGCCAGATGGCTTGCATTCCATTTTCTCATAAACCGTACGCTGTGGTAAGACCACAAGAACGCTTGGGCTTCCCACAACCTCATCCTCTAGGTCCAAGGGGTTGAAGGATACCATTCATATAAGGATATTCGCCTACAACGCGCATTCCAACTCAGAACATAAATACCAAGCAAATTGTAACTATTTCCTAGATCATACACTAACCCGTTCGCCCTGTAGTGCAGTCTTCGGGGAGAGTTGACATATGTCTAGGCAAAGAATCCAGGATACGTCTGTAAACTCGACTATGAACCACACAAATGTTGTAAGTCCAGCCAGTCAGTCAGTGTTATGATCAATAAGAATCTCTCCTGGCTATGAGACGAAACATATGTAGTCTATCACCAAAGGGAACATGCAACGGCGTCGACATGAAGGCTCAATTTCCCCATGACAAGACGGCGAGACACTCAAAAGGATTGAGCTCAAGCGCAACACTTCGGTCGCAATTCCTCTTATTTCTGAAGGGCTCACTGTCACTGATCATAGTTCAACATAAGTTGTGACTCTAGCCTTTAAGACTAGACGGTTCCTGGCGAGTTCATGAGGCTCTGTCTCACTAGACTCGTACTTCAGAACCAGCATCGTAATACGTAAACTTTTTCACAATTCACATATGCTCCATATGTCCTATGTATACTCTTGACGTCTTTTGACTTCCAGTCATTGGATATTTGTGCTGGGGCGAGTTGCAAAGTGATGACTGAGATCTGACTCTTCTCAACATCGTCAAAGCTTCATAGAACACGGTCTGTTGACATTGAGATGGATCAGAAGAACTCTTTCGTTACTAAAGAGCGAATGGTGGCCAAGTAACAGCGCAGGTCATTCTTAATCATTCTCAACGTTTTGTATCTATTGTTCTCGTGGGTTTTCAGAAATGATTTTGATGAGATTTCCGCCTGTTCTCTTCCATATGAGTTGCGGTAGCGGCTACAAGCACACCAAACAGCTGGCTCAGATTGTCTCGATTACTGTCATAAACGACTACACCGATCTATTACGCTAGGGCAGTCTCACAATACCGAGCCAAACTCTCATCATCTATAGCATCACGGAACATGTGACTGGCAATCAATGCATGTGAGAAGCCATCCAAAGATTCAAAGGAGTCGCATTAGAACTTCTTGACGTAGATAATTCAAGTGTGAAAAGTTTATTCCTGGTCTCCAGATTTCCTTGGTTACCAAGTATGTAAGAATGACACATGAATTCCAAGGTACAGTCATAAGAACTGGGTTCTTGACTAGAGCAGACTTCTTAGCCGGTCGGAAACGACCTCAATGTTCGGAACTTCCTCTTGGAGAAAAGTTCTCTTTTTCCAGTGCGAGTGGCTCTCTGGTGAAGCCATCGTCATGGCTATCAAGGGTCCCTTTGCTTTGCTTTACATCCACACCGTCACCCATAGATCAGCACTTTCTGGGGAACATCGACGGGGCGTGTGTCGAAATCCGGGGTAGCAAAATTATATCAGTCACCGAGATCGGGATCTGCGAGCCTGGTACCTTTCTCGCCTCACCCTCACCTTCGGAATGCCGTCATATTACCTCGGCCTACACCCAGGGTTGCTTCAGGAGCGCCCGTGCAAGTCTGTCAAAGTAAAACAAGATCAAACGCAAACCGCAAACCGCAAAGCTATGCCGGTAGTTGCTATCCTCGGTCCAGCGGCTTTGGCGCTCAATCTAATCTCCACGCCCCCCTGGAACTTTGACTGACGGTTTTCTAGGCGCCATGAAAAGAAGCTGTTTCGTTATCATGTGGAGCTCACTAGATCGCTGTAAAGGCTTGGTCTCAACACGATTTCTTCCGAGGGCTTTGCTCGGCATATCCGTGTTGCCCCGAACAAGGATTTTTTTCCCCTTTCGAACCCTGGAAATTGAGCTCTTTATGGGAATCCCTGTCGTAAACGTGCTTTTTCTTCACTGGTGAATCCCTTTAGTCTCCAGAGCTCTTGGAGTTTGGACCCTAGGCTGAGAGTCAGCCTGCTCCTCATCACATCCGGCTTACTTTTTAGTTGTTTTTCGTAGTCCAGGAACTTAACCGAAACCAGAGAGTGCAAGGTACTGTGAGATCGGATTCACATGCTCACTGAAGAAAATCAGTTGGCTACCCACCTATGCGAAGTATGCGGGTGGTTGCATTCTCACCGTCGTATCAAGAATGTTATACAGTATCAACTTAGAGGTTGGTCTAAGAATGAGGCTCTCAAGATTCGTCCGGGTTTAACATGCTCCTGCCGACTGCAGCTGCGACGGCCGAACATTCCGGTCTATACGTGTGTGGCGTGGTAGTATTCATGTTTGGTGGTGTGCAAGCCCCAAGCAAGCCTTCGGATAGGCAGAAAAGTGCCGGTAGTTTATTGAGACCAATTAGTCACTCTTCATCCATTCAGGGCCTTCATCTCTGGAAATTTGTCGACAATCGGAAGTCCTGTTAGCATCTTGGAGCATCATCACATGCCAGAAGACGATAGTTGATGACGGCCACTATCCTTCCGTACCATCCAGCTTCACAATTTCGAAGCAATCATCCAGCATTGTTCTCTCACATGTCCTTATCTGAATATCCAGCACCGTCACTTTGAGCCTGGCTGGCTCTCATGCCCTGCAACGAAAGGCCCGACTTGTCAGTCTTAGGTCAGTAACAGTAACGGAATCGTCCTGGGCGGCCGTGGAAACGATCCCACGAGTCGTTTGACTGCTCAACGGCACGCGTCATTTCCTTGCTATACATACTTGTACGTGTCAAATGCCCTGAGCCTTGCTTCCATGATCCCCATAACCATCAGGGATCTGAAAGCATGTTGACCTTGTCTAAACCAACCATGCTACAACGCTGCTGATAAGCTTGGTTACGGCGGGTTCCTCAGCTCACGATAGTATTCGAGGAGTTGCTGATAGCTTCCACCAAGCCAGCTCCTTCGGTCCATTGAATATCTAGGGGTGCGAATCAAAGCCATGCCTCTTATCACGTTCCATCAAACCCAACACGCATCGATTCTCGCATAGGCTCAGATGCTTGGGCAATCAGCAA